GAGGAGATGCTCACATTTGACAACGTTTTATCCCTTTTGATTACTCTTGTTCTTCTCCCACATTTCTCTTAAACCTCTTCTGTTTTCAGCATGAGAAATGATCTTTGCCTCAGTTTGGCATAGCACTAGCTCTTAAAGGACATGAAATAATAACTGCCTTTGGTTCCCTTTAACCTATTTTCTGAACTTGTCTCTAAGGAATGGGTGGCTAGCAATTTCACAAAGAATAGACTCTTTGCACTTTCAAGACGGGGAATGCTCTGCCTTCTAATCCCAGCCAGCAAGCCCCCAGGAATATAACATCAGACATCCGTGGTCCTCATCAGCCAGCCAGAGATGGCAGTGGGTGGAAAATGCATATCACAGCCATTTAGACTTCAAAAAAGCTTTGAATCTCATTTATTTAAATTTTTTTTCTAAAATAATTGGTCAAAGTTTGGGACTTTTCATTTCTTTCAGAAGGGAAAATGACAGGCTTGTTCATATATGCATATTACACATTAATTGACAAAATAAATATATATAGTAATATTTCAATACATGTATATAATCAAAATACAATGATCAGATCAATATAATTGGCATATCTGTCATCTCGAACATTTATCACTTCTTGTTGGGACCACTAACTCCACTAGATGTCAACCAGTTACCCTAAAATGCTGTAGAACATTAAACATTATTCCTCCTGTCCAATTGACCCCATGTGGATGTTAAATGTCCTCTCACATCTCTCATCCATCCACCCTTACTAGCCACTGGTAACCACTATTTTTATCTAATTCTATGAGATCAACATTTTTTTTTTTTAGCTTGCACATAAAGTGAGAACAAGTGGTATTTGTCTTTTGTGTGAACTTATTTCACTTCACTTAATGTCTTTCAGGCTCATTGAGTTGCTATAAATAAAATGATTTTTCTTCTCTATGGCTAAATAATATTCCATTTTGTATATTCCTCATTTTCTTTATGTATTAATCTGTCAATGGACACATAAGTTGATCGTACATCTTGGCTACTATCAGTGGTGCTACAATACATAAGGAAGGACAGATATCTCTTTGACATATTAATTTTCTTTCCTTTGCCTATGAATGTAGCAAGTAGAATGGCTGGATTATATTTTAGTTCTATTTCTAGTTTTTTGAGGAAGTTCCATACTGTTTTCCATATGGCTGTATTAATTTTACATTCCCACCAACAGTGTATAAGAGTTCCCCTTTCTCCACTTCTTCACCAACATTTGTTATTTATTTATTTATTCATTCATTTATTTTTGTCTCTTTGATAGTAGTCATTCTGACAGGTGTGAGGGAATATCTCATTGTAGTTTCAATTTCCACTTCCCCTGTGATTAATAATATATAGTATTTTTTCATATACTTGTTGATCATTTTCATGTCTTCTTTTGAGAATATGAACAGAATATTTTCAATGCTCTCCATGGTAAGAAAAACATAAAGAACTTTAAATTGGGACCTGGGATTTACCTGATATAAAGCATGAACTAGAGGCATGGCAACTGTAGTTCAGTCATTTCTTAGTTTGGGGAAGACCACTCAAGAGAAAGGAAAGACTAGAGAATTTCCTAAGTTTCCTGCGGAGAAGATTTATAACTTTCTGAGAGAATTAATCAGCAAAAGTATCTACACCTCTCCCATGATTCTCTATGGGAACTGAAAGATAAGCAAGTAGGAATTTGAAATCTTTACAGATTGGTAACCAAAAAGAAATTTTTATCTGCTGCTGTTATGAACCCAATTAGATATATTTGGGGGAAAGGGTGTATGTATATTAGATTTTAATTAAGTAGTGTTAATTATAATCTATGAGATGTGCTTACAGCTTATCAGATAATTATGAGAAAGCCAATTTGGCTGCTGGCTTGTGACTAATTAAGTGGAATTAGTAATGATAATTATAGATTTCATTTGGTTTGCCTTTATTGGAAAAGGGGCAAATCTACTTAGGCTGGGGTGGATCAGGGTAAAGGAGTGACACCCACAATTCAACTGAAGAGCATCCTAGGCTTTGAAAACATAGAAAAAGTGGAAGGATGGGAGAAATAGCCATCTGCTGTGGACTCATCCTGCCTTACCCACATTGACCATCTTGTTTGGCTGATTTTTCCCATCCACATAGTCCCATCAGGGACATTTTATTAAGGAAGAAGTTCAATGCACGTGAGAAACCTTAGTGATCTAAGCAAAGGTCTCTAAGAATGAATTTGGGTGTCGATTCATAGATCATGCCATTGGCTTATGATGTCATGTAAAAGAGGAACAACCTAGATCATCCTCAATATCCCAACTCCCACCGTGCCTACTGTAATCCTAAGGGGAATCATTGTCTTCTGTAAACTGATTGATTTCTTTTAAACCACCTTTCTCCCAGAAGTTACATAAGGTAAAATGACAGAGATATAATTGGAGTATGGGATCTACTTCAAAAGACCATTGAGACTATCCTAAACTCAAGGCAAACGAAAAGAATAATTTTTGTCCCATGTGTCTGTTTGATACACTATTTTGACATTTCCTTCACATGCTTCCTCATTTAACATTTGCTTCTGCCTGGCCTTCAATATTAGAAGTTGAATTCCTTAAGAGTGGAGGCTGTAACCATTTTTTTAATTTTTTTGTACTTTATAAGCCTCTTATCTAATGAACTCCCTCTAGGGTTGTGCCATGTGAGACATGAGAGTTAACAGAAGGAAAAGTCACAACATCCTTATTGATCCCAGACCAACATTTTGTAGCATCATTATCTTGGGCAAATCATTAATCTACCTATATCTCAGGTTGTTCTATAGCTTTTTAAAAAATCTGTAAAATAAAGATAATAACAGCAGTCACCTTGAAGGACACATAATGATTAAATAAAACAACTTTAGAGTTTAGTGCAGTACTCAACCCATAGCAAGCACTCAGCAAACCAGTTTTTCTCAGTTGGTTCATGAACCACAGGCAACTGAACCACAGAGGAGGACTGTAGCAAATGCCGAACTCTGAGCCCCATCTTTGACCCTTGATTCATCAAGTTGGACCAACGCCCAGGTGTCTGCATGTCCAACAAGCATTCTCAAGGTGATTCTTGTGAATAATGGCGACATTCAGGGCCACTGTTAAACAATGTCAATTCCATTGAGAATACCAGTAGTAACAAATACACTATACCAAATAGAAGGAATATTCTTGGGTGTTCTTTCATTCACCTCTATCTTAGTCTGAGACTGGACCAAAGCAGGTTAAAGGCAGGATTAAGCAGGGTAAATTGACAAACTGGAAACTCTACTATGTTATCACTGGCCAAACATGCAGCCCCAACAAACAACCCTCACAATGTAGACTCTGGTGTGTGTAGAGATACTCCACAGAGCAGGTCCTGAAAGGGCTTTGCATGCTCAGAGGTAAAGCAGAATATTAAAGGCACCCTATAATGACTCAAAGTGTCATAGGATGATCCTGCCTGTGCTCAAGCTGGTGACGATGCTACATGCCCATTTTGGCACCAACCAATTTGCGCATACTGATATCATTAATTGCAATTACCCGCACACCACAGTGGAGTACACATGTCCATCAAATGAATGTCACTCTATTGCTGATTTTTTTTTTTTTTTAAATTTCATCCACATCATGTCACATCCCTGATCAAAGCCATCTCTAGCCTTCCTATCCACAGTGCTATGTCCTGGTCTGCAAAGAGCCTCACTCTCTGAATTCTAACTTCCTGGTTATACCTCTTTCTAGGCACCACCTAAGTAGCCCACCCACATGCCTATCACTTCAAAATCATGAAAATCTTCAAAAGGGGACCTTTCTTAACCTAAGCAATCTCTGAGCACTCTCTCTGTGGACCTCACCATAAGATGCACAGTGTTCTGAATCTCTGACCTCAGGACTTCCCTTAAGGGTTGGTATCCAATTATATTCTCCTCCATTCCTTTCGTTGGATAACTTGCTCTCTGTTACAATCACTTCAGACTACATCTAGCTGAAGTTTGTTTAGCAATTTCTCTGAGCCAGATACTGTTAAACCTTTGCCCTAGGTTAGCTCTGTTGAATCAGTCATATCCTATGAGGTAGGTATGTTATCATTGTCTTTATTTTACAAGTAATACTGATGTTCACATGGATGGTTGCCTTGTTTTTATACCATAACTTAAGAGTAGTAGAACCAGGCTTTGGACCCCATGGTGGTTTTCAGAACCCAGTCTTCCTCCTCTGTACCTGATTGCTTTCTGCCATTCTGAGGTCAGTGAGTAGCATCCTGTCAGGTCATAATGTGCTTAAGTCCATCCTCATCTGACTATGTTGTGGCTAAAGTGCTTTCTGTGTTCTGCTGCAACCTGATTGGCTGGTTTTAAGTACTCCAGGTGTGACGTAGGAACCATCATGTTCATTTGCTTCTGTGCCCCTCTTGAGAGTTGAATTATCTGTCAGGTAGCACCTCTCCATTCCTTTTTTCTGATAATAGAATCCCACCGGGTCTCTACAAAGTCTAGATTAAATCCTATATTTTCCTCAAAATACTAACTCCTTCCTCTGAAACCATTTTCATACTAACTTCCTCTCATGCATAATTATTATGCATATATTCCACTGTCTTCCAAATCTGACTTTCCTAAATTGAACGGATTGTGCTATATTTGTCTTTTAAGCTCATTGGTATCTGTCATAGAGCTTTACCTACAGCTGGTACAATATGAATGAGATGATTAAATAATTGGGAACTAAATTACCTGCTTGGTCTGGGGGTATGAACAAAGAGTCTTACCATTACATCTTGCTGAGATTATTTTCCACTTAATCACATGCCCCAGGAATGTCAGGGCTTATGCTCACATTGAGGGGAGACTAGGCACATAACAGGCCAGACAGGCATTGGCATATATAGATGACAAGAAGAATTGAGTCCTTATTTAAATAGCTCACCAATGCTAATAAAATTTTTTAAAAATGAGATTTACCATATATGGATGTAAAGTTTGGGGCACAAATGTGAGGCCAGGATTTCATTATGAAACTAATTTAATTCAAATAATATTAATTGAACAGCTTCTATAAGAAAAAGTATGAAAGGCTGCCTTTCTCTTGAAAGAGTTTGCAATAATCAAATTTAACATTAGAAATATAATGAAACTTTAGAGAATAGGAAACTAATCACTTCATTTTGTAAGAGAGAATAGTAAAGCCTAGAGAAATGTTATTGACCAATGGCTACAGAGCTCTCTGAGATTAGTTGCAGTATTAGACCCCTAGTCTGTTTCATTATATCACAATTCTTTTTCCAAAATTAAAAAAAAGACTAGTGTTACAGTAGCAACAAATCCAGTTAGTGAAAAGAAAAAAACATTCAGACCATGTAGGGGAGTTATTTTGTAGGCGATTCCCCCAAAAGATCACGTCCCTTAAGTCAATGCCAAAATACATTTATTTAAAAATTTCATTCCAGTTTGTAAAATAACCTGTGACTACAATAAGTAAGTACTATATCAGAAGTGTATTTCAGTTAAGCTTCAGAACCAGTAAAAATTTCAAAAGACTGAGACGAGACAGAAAAAAAGGGGAAGATTAAATAAAATGACATACAGGACAATGTTTATAATCTTTAAACAACAAAAAAAAAAAAAAACAAAAGTATTAAATATCCAAGGGGATGAAGAAGCACCAAGGAAAGTTTTGTATGAGATATCAATGGTTTGTATGAAGGGGATGTCAGGTAACATGGCTGAATACAAAACAGGATTTCTAAGAGATGGGGAGTGATACTGAGTTCAGAACCTAAAGCACTTTGAATGTCACTTGAAGGATTCTAAACAATATGATATAGTTTATATGGTAGAGTCTACAAAATAAAGACTTGGGAGCTCAATGCTATCATGACCAGAGCAAAGCAGGTAATCCTGTCACTATAGTAAACAGGCTAGGGAACGTAGGCCATCTGATGTCCAAGCACAGTGCCTTGGAAAAATTGCTGGAAACCATGAAGCTGAATTGTCAATTCTTCACAATGATTCAAATAATTATCAACAATAGTAAGAGCAGGTGAGTCCCAGGCATTTGAGATGATGTTCTCAGCAATGGTGCAGCAACACAGGGGATGAAGAACATTTGAGAATAGAGGAGAGTTTGAATTCAGACATCCCAAATGTGAGGTGCCAGACAACATGCAGTTAAGAGTACCCAGCAATGTTTTCCTTGTTAGAATACCAAGTTCTCTTTGTTTTCTGATTTCCTCTCCTAAGATCAACTATTGAGAACATGGATACTTAGAAGAGAAAAGCAAGGATTTCACAAAGTTGCAACAAAAATACAGCAACATCTCTAATAAACCTCTGGAGAATCTGAACACTGCCTTGAATTTGAGCAGCTCAAATTGTATGGTTGGGAGAAAGCAGTGGCCACAATCTGAGATGGAGAGGGCAGTGGAGGGTAAGTTAAAAGGAGGCTTTCTGGTTCCCTCCCCACTCTGTCTCACATTGCTTTCAGGCAAAATGTGCTTCCCTGTCATGGATGAAATCAGCTGTGAGATACATAAGACGTAATTAAGATGGCAGCATAAATGAATGGGGGAAGGAAAAATGTTCTGTAAACTGGCTTACTATCTATGTAACCCCATTGTCAAAATAAATGCAGAATAAAGTGAAATGAAAATCAGAAAACTTGAGTAGTAAACAGAAGAAAACAAGGAAGAATATCTGAATAACCAAGGATTAGAGAATGATTGTAGCATTATCAAGTTGTAGCAAAATGTTAACAAAAGTTTGTGAATTTGAGAGGATCAAAAATAAGAATTTACCTCAACAGAGGGTATGATGAGTGAAATTAACAGACATTGATAGATTAGGAAAGGTTTAAAATGTCTGAAAACCGACAAGACTACTATTTAGAATACACAATGAATGCATATAAGTAAAAAGACACTAACCTCAATAGAAAGCATGGGTGAAGAATCTGAATAAACAATTCAAAGAGGGTAAACAAAAATCTTACAATATATAAGAAAGAAAGAAATTATTAATCAGGAAAAGTTTGAAGTAAAACAAAAATGAGATATCAATTTATACATGGTAGACTACCAAAATTTAGGAAGCTGGATAAAGTCAAGTTTTGAGGGAAGTGAAGGGAAGGACATGGCTTGGTGCAGCAGGTGGGAGAAGACTGCTGCAGTGAATGGAAGGAGGGACAGATATGTATGTGTGCAGAGATGAATACATAGATAAATATATAGGTGTACATAGATACATACACAGATACCATGTTTCACCACATAAAAATAATATGAGGTGTGACCATTATGTGAAGCTTTAAAAAAAAATAAAGTCTATCAGCATTTTAAAGTATTACTTTAAAAGTCATTTGTTACTAAACTATCTTTGGGGGCAAGATGAGGATGCATAAAATAATCATGAATTTACATAAAGTGCGATAGTGAAATATTGTTTATGTGGGTACCCATCCATCCGTCAGCCACAGTCTGACCTCCCACATGCAGCCTCATGTCCTTCTCTTCACTTTCCTCAACACTTGGATTAATCCAACTTCCTAAATTTTGCCAGCCTACCAGGGAGGAAGGAAAAATGTTATGTGAATGATGTCTCATTTTGGTTTTACTTCAAATTTTTATATAAATTACAAGAATCCAAAAAAGTGGACATATTCACTTAAATGAATGGGTCTTTTGTGGGGGTGAAAGTGGAAAATGGGGATAACTACATAAATTTAAAAAAGAAAAGAGCCTAATTACATGGTTCAATGACTAAGATCCCATGTGAGATACTTGTCTTCAACACTTTAGATTCTAAATTAAAAAAAAAAAAAAGAAAAAGAAAAAGAAAAGAAAGAAAAATCAACCACCAGTTGAGAGAATGAGTTGATAACTCAGGAAACTAAGATAGGAAATAGAGACTGGCAAGCATACACTTAGAAGAGATAGCCACATTCATGGTCAGGCTAATAAAAGGAACCAAGAAAGAAAGTGACAAGGATTGGGGACACAGCAGACAGGAAAAATTGGTTAGAAACTTTCAAATTCATTTGATAATGCTACAACTCTCTTGCTGCACAATCTGACTAGAGAAAAAAATCAGAACACTTTTACTAGATATTATGATGTAAAATAATAAAATGCAGCAGCATATGAAACATTGTACCATATCCAAGTAGAATTCATGCATACTAGAATATTTCAACTATTGAAAAATCTATCAATGATGTCATTATATTAAAATATAAAGAGAAAAATCATGTATTAATATTATCAGATGCCAAACAAGCTTTTGTTAAAATTAACAAAGAGGGGGAAAAAGAGGAAGGAAGGAAGCAAGCAAGCAAGTAAGTGGGCAGGGCAGGCAGGGAAGGCAGGCAGGCAAAGTAGGAAAAAAGCAACTTCCTACAGCTCACGAAGTTTTATAGCAAAAAATTAACAAAACATCATGTTAAATTTGAAACACAGAAGGCAATTCCATAGAGAAATGAGAAAAGAATACCCAATACTCTTCTAGGGATTTAAATAAACACTGAAAGAAGAAAAAGCGATTCATCTATTATTATCTAAAAACAATATAATTGTCTTCCTAAAAATGCAAACGTCTCACTTAAAAATTATTAAAACTTGGTAAAAGTTCAATAAAGTGACTACATATCAAAGAAATATATCTAAATCAATAGTTTTCCTTTATGCCAGCAATAAATAGTCATAAAGTACTAAGGGAAATATAACATGCTTAAAAATTAATTTAATAAGAGCTTCATAAAACCTCTGTGAATAAAACAAAAAAAAATACAGAAGAACATTAGAAGAAAAAAATTTCCTGAATGAATAACTCATGATGAACTATTTCTTGCTGGTCTCATCAAAGTTTGTACCTTGTATTGATGATCTATCTGGATCCAACCACTTCTTACTGTAATAAAGTCACCTCTTAGGCAAAGGTTCTCCTTTTTGCATCAAGTTTCTTTCTGTACAGGATAGTCCCCTTTATCATGAAAACACACTACAGTATCACCAGTAGTATTAAAAGCAAACTAAAATAAGATCTTCATTACCATTCCAAACCTTTCAACAAAATATCTCCAGTGTTGCCTGTTTTTGGCACATTCAATCTTTCTAATCATGTGTTCCATATATGCAAATTTTCCTACTCGCTAAAAATTGTTTGTGATCCCAAAATCAATGATCAGAGTTTCCCCAGCCATTTATGGACTTGCAAAGAGCAGCAAAATATTTGAGCTACCGGGTGTGTGCATTCCCACCTGTTGTCAAATGAAGAAATGCTTGGATTTATTTTTTCTCTCATACTGTAAACAAGGGTCAATTTCATTATCTACTTGGTGCCACATTTTTCCATTTTTGTTGGTGAATTTTGTATAACATGGCCCCCGAGCAGAATACTGAGGTGCCGTCTAATGTTCCTAAGTGCAAGGAGACTAGAATGTGTCTTATGCAAAAAATATGTTTCATGAGGGAGCATTGTTTAGGCAGAGTCATGGTGCTGTTGGGTGTCAACTTAAGGTAAAATGTTTTTAAACAGAAGCACACATATCTCAATGAATAACCAGAAGCTTTAAGAAACCTAACCCTGCTTTTGTTGAAGGAGCTATGAATCTCTCTGTATTCACCGCCATAAGGTCCAGGGTGTTTTTTAGAACATTCATGCAAATGAATGAAAATTGACTGCGTTTTCCCATTTCATCATGCCTCACTCTTTTCTCAATTCCATTAAGGCTTTGTTCTCACTTCATTATAATTACTCAGTTGAATATCACCAATGGCTTCCATATTACCAGTTCCAAGGGTCTGAATGGTCTCTTCTCTTCCCTCATCATACTAATCACCAACACTCTACACAATAACCACATCTTCTCAAAACACTTTGTCTTCATCAGAACTGCACTATCAAGTTTTTCTTCCAGTCTCAATTGTCAGTTCTCCACAGCCTCTTTTACTGAGCCTTTCTTTCCTCAACCTCTATGTGGGAGCTCCTCAGAGTTCTCCTATTTCTTCCCTGAGAATCTCCTCCTCCAAACGAGTGACTTTACAGACATTAATATGCTGGTGATTCTCAAATGTCTATCACTAGTACAACTACCCCCCAGAACTTGGAACTCATCTCCAACTTCCTTTCTGCTATCCCACTTGGATGGTATTTTAAAGTCCACAAAAAAACTGTAGATAGATCCATATGCTCTACTCCCCTCCTATCTTCTCATTCAGGTAATTTCTTAAATAGAAGTGCCTGGAGCTGTTCCATATTCTCTCCACACATATACTTTATCTCTCTACAACCAATGTGTCAGAAAAACTCTGGCTCTACTTCCAAAGCATATGCCAAATCCATTAGCATCTCTCAAATCCACTGTTACTACTACAGTTCAGGGTCCCATCATCTTTCATTCTGATTACGTCAACAATTTCCTAAATAGCCTCTTACCTCCTCTCTTCCTTCTCTCAGCATACAAATAATCTATTCTTGTCAGAAACTAGAATGAGCTGGTAAACTGTAAACCACATCATCCCCTTTTACTCAAAGTCCTCAGAATGCTGTCTATTGTATTTAGAATAATATCCAAAACATTTGTCATGACCCATAGGACCTTACATGATCTAATCTTTGACTATGTATCTGATGACAGAAGAAATACTTCATCTTGCTGCATGCAACCTACTGGTCCTTTTTGATTTCTTAAAACTGACAAAGTAGTTCTCAACTTAGGACTTTTGAAGTGGTTTTTCTCTCTGTTTGAAATGCTCTTCTCTCAGATTTGTCCTTTTAGGCTGCTAATGATCAGGTTAGTTAAAATGTCACTCCCTCAGGGAGGATTTCCTGAATATAAAACCTAAAATAGGCTGCCCCTTAGTTGTTCTGTCTTGTCAACCTGTTATTTTTAATCTTCATAGTATTTCTGCCACCTGAAATGGCTCTTGTATTTCCTTTTGTTCCCTGATCCTCATACCACCTTCCAGAATGTAAGTTTTATGCAAACAGTAACTTTGATAATCTTATCTATCTCAAAACCAAGGTTAGTTTCTAGCAATAAGTTTTTATTGTTATTGTTGAGTTATATTTTTTAATTTTTTAATTAACACATAAAAATTTTACATGTTTTATGTTTTAATACACATGTTCACATTGTGTAATGCTTAAATCAAGGTGCCGGTAATGGGTGTTCACTATTGATTGACTGAATGTTTAAACTTATAAGGAAATCTCAGTATTATAGAAATACCAGGTATGTGCATGTATATTTAAAGTAATCCCTATCAGAATCTTGGTGAGGTTGGTGCAAGACTAATGAATAAGAAATCACTCTGGAGAAACATTTACGAAACCAACCAAACTACAGTTATCATAAGTACTATGACAAACTAAAGTGATAGGCAAATGGATTAATGGCATTAAAGAGAAATTCTAGAAACAGACTGATGTATG